ATTTGAGGTATTTATTAGTTATGCAAAGGGGCTGGGTCCTAATGAACTATGTCTCAAATGCCATACTGACCGATGATGACGACCTTAAAAGGCAAGCAAGGGCACCATGTGAGCACTCGTGTGGTCACTTACTTAGTAACGTACGTCCCTAAGTAGCTTCTAATCACCGTGTCCGTGGTGAGCAGGCAACTCTCAGGCAATGAAACAATCATCTGTCCCACCTTACCAAAAAGAAAGTAAAGTTTAGAACACCTATGCTTTGGAGTGACCTGAGGCTTTGTAAAATCACTGATTCCACCATTATCTACCAAGACTCCACTATAACCCAACCACAGACTGATAGGAAGCCCCCAAGTGGACTCACTCCCACGTCCCTCAGTCAGCAGGTACAGGCAAGGCTGCTCCAATGCCAGGTACTAAAGCCCCAACAAGAACTAAGGGTTAGTGATGTGACCCACCACCGTCAACCTTTCTCCTGGAAGGAATGAGAGACAGTTTGACAACTTAAATCTTACCATCCCTTCACTTTCTCATGCCAGGAAAGAGTGTTCCCTATGGTGGCACAGTGGTTAAGTGTTTGGCTGCTAACCAAAGGGTCGGCAGTCTGAATCCACCAGCCACTCCTTGGGGCAGTTCCACTCTGTCCTATAGGGTCGCTATGAGTTGGAATCGACTCGATGGCAATGGGTTATGGGAAACAGCCAGAAATCACCAAAAATAACTGCATCCTGTGAAACCCAGGGGACATCACCTGTGACTATCCAACCAGCTAAAGAAAGGGTGACCCACCCAGCACAGGAAGAATCTAATTTCACCACCTGCAAAAGTTTAGCTTTGAGTTTCTCTCACTGGAATACAGGAAAAACAAAAATTAAGACAGGAAGTAAAGGACACCAGAAACAAACAAAGCACTGAGAAGCCAGATGTGAGATCCTGCTTTCACTATAACGGCATCTGAGATTAGCTACAAATCCCAGCCACTCCCCTAACAAATCTTTGGGGTTCCATTTCTGGATTCCTTATCGGTATAATGAGATTAAACTGGTGATCAATGCAGTCCCTTCCAGCTCCAAAATCCCACGACTTTCGATTAAAATAACATAAAAAGTTACTCAGTGGAATTGTTCTCTATCTTGACCGGGGTGTACCACTTTGTCATCAACGCTCATCAAACTGTACATTTCGCTATTATGTAAAATAGGTCTCAGCTTAAAAAAAAAAAATTTAAAATACATGCGAAGCAATTCTCAGTTATCAACAAAAACTGTTGTTGTATGTTGCCAAGTCCTTGAACAGCTAGCATATCTTAGGCCAATAAATGTAAGAGATGCAAAATTGAAAAATAAATTAATAATAGGTGAAAGAATTAACTTCAGTTTTTTTTTTTATTGTTGTACTTTAAGTGAGAGTTTACAATTCAACTTACTCTCTCATACAAAAACTCATACATACACTATTACGTGAACCTAGTTGCTCTCCTTATACTGTGACGGCACATTCCTCCTTTCCACCCGATTTCCCAAGTCCATTCAACCAGCTCCTGACCCTCTCTGCCTTTTCATCTCACCTCTGGACAGGAGCTACCCATTAGTCTCATGACTCTACTTGAGCTAAGAAGCACACTCTTCACGAGTATCATTTTATGTCCCACAGTCCAGTCTAATCTTTGTCTAAAGAGTTGGCCTTGGGAATGGTTTTA